CTCAGCACCAACACCCTCAGCAGCTCCAGCTCCAGTAGGACCCGCAGGCCCAGCAGCTCCGGGACCGGCGACACCTGCACCCTCGACGGTCGAAGGAGCTCCAGCTCCAGCAGCACGCCTCCAGCGGCGAGCAAAGAACTCGCGCAGCTCCTGTGGAGAGAGGGGCTCCCGTCGAGACGCAGCAGCAGGAGAAACCCCAGGCTCAGCACCCCCAGGCTCAACAGCCCCAGACCCAGCACACCCAGGCTCAGCAGCTCCCAACTGAGCACCCCCAGGCTCAGCAGCTCCAGGCACAGCACCCCCCGGCTCAGTACCCTCCGCAGTAGCACCCCCAGGCCCAGCACCCCCAGGCTCAGCACCCACAGTAGCAGCACCTCCAGGCCCGCCACCCCCGCGCACAGCACCCCCAGAGTCAGCAGCCCCAGGCTCAGCACCCGCAGCAGCACCAGAGTCACCAGTAACCTCGACCGGGTCAACTGCGTCTACCTAGGACACACCTGAGGGGGCAGGAACCTGAGGGGGGAGGGGGTCTACCGGGGGGGGAACCGGCACAAGGAAGTCCGGCGAAGGGGGGAGGGAAGGAGTGCGGTAGGGGAAGAGGCGGTAGAAGGGGACTGACTCGTCGAACGTGACGTCCTGGGAGGACAGAACACGACGAGAGGAGGGGTGGTAAAACTGCCACCCTGGAGCGTCAGTGGGGAAGCCAAGGAAGACACAGGGAGCAGCACGAGGGGACAGCTTGTCCGCAGACAAGTCGCGGACAAACGCCCGAGATCCCCAGACATGGAACGCCGACGCATCGCCAACCTTCCCCGTCCACAGCAAGACTTGGGACATCGCGGGCCGAGAGACCCTGGGGTGAAGGTTGAGCTGATGCGCCGCGTACCTCACCGCAAACGGCCACAGAAAATGGGGGGCAGCCGCATGCATCATGGACGTACGAGCGACATCCATGACCATGCCAATGCGGCGCTCAGCAATCCCATTTTGCTGTGGAGAGTCCGGAAGCGTGAAGGTCTGGCGGATCCCCCGTGCACGACAGTAGTCTCGCAGAAGGCGCGAGAAGAACTCTCCGCCTCTGTCCGAGTGCAGACGCAGAACAGGAAAGTCCGAGCCGAAGCTCTTCCTGAGCTGGAGACGAGCCTCGCGGATCCAGTCGATCAGCACCTCAGTGACAGCACCCTTGCTGCGCAAGGGGAGGACTGTGGTGTAACGCGAGTAGTCGTCAACCACCAACAGAAAGTAGCGCTCGTGACCCTGCCCACGGACGGGGGCTGGGCCCCACACGTCCATGTGAAGCGTCTGCAGAGGAGCCTCTGTCGGGGGGAACTGGGAGGAGTGAGGAGCAGCCCGGAGGCGACCCTCGACACAGGGGACACAGGAAGGTCCTGGCCCCGGAGGGAAGGGGAGGGAGAGACTGTGGAAGACCAGAGACAAGGACACGGGAAGCCATGCTCCGAAGACGGGGCAAGGAGGGGTGGCCAAGACGGTGGTGCCACAGGAGAGTCTCGTGAGACAGGAGGCGAGAAGAACAGGGGGCAGACTCAGGACCTGACCGGGACGCAGCAGCAAGCACCTGACCTGACGCAGCCACCTGACCAGACGCAGGGACAGGAGGAGACTCAACGGTCAGGGTGTAGAGACTCGACCCCGGCCGACGCGAGAAAGTGGCCAGGTGTCGGCCTGTGCGTGCCTCCGTGCAGTGGGTCACCCGCTGACTCGCAGGAGTGAACTGGTGAACCCCCACATCCTGCAGGTCCGCGCCACTCACCAAGTTCGTAGAGAACGAGGGAAGGTACAGACCAGACAGGGTGCCTGAAGGGGCAGCCGGACACGGGAGGACAGTGGAGAAGTGAGAGAGGACAGGACCCCCAGAGGGGTCAGCCAGGGAGACGACAACCGGCCGGCCAAGCGGCGTAAGGGTGGTGCGGTCTCGAAAGAAGGAGCGAGAAGCCCCAAAGTCAAGTGTGAAAGTAAGGGAGGACGAGGGCGACGCAGTACCTGAGGGCGCAGTCTCACCAGTACCTGAGAGCGCAGACGCACTGGCACCTAGAGTAGCAGCCTCACAAGCACCTAGCGCAGCAGTACCAATGCCCGGGTCGGGCTGGAAACACCGGTAACCCTCAGTCTCCTCACTAATAGTCACAGCATACATAGCAGCAAGGATAGCATCAAAATCAAGATCAAAGATCGCTACACCAGCCCTAAGAAGCTCATCCCAGCGAGGGATCTCACTGGCCCCGAGGAACTGCTGACGCCAAGCGTCCGTCAGGCGGCCAAAGCAGCGCTGGGTGGGGTGGGCACCCCCACACTGCTCACCCGCGCGGTCGCCGGAACGAAGGACGTAAGTGCAAGGACCAGTACCCCCACCCCTGTGACGATGAGTGTACCACTCACGAAGCTGCTGAGGCGGAGGGATGTCCCGCGAACGCTGCTGCTGCTGCTGCTGCTGCGAGCGCTGGCCACCACCACCGCCGCTCCGCTGCTGGGTACCACCCCGACCAGCTCCACCCCCTCCACCACCACCGCCTCCTCCGCTGCCTCCTCCGCCGCCTCCACCTCCGCCGCTGCCACCACCACCACCGCTGCCACCACCACCGCCGCCTCCGCCGCTGCTGCCACCACCACCACCACTCCCGCCACTACTCCCGCCGCCACCCCCACTCCCTCCGCCGCCTCCTCCGCCACCGCCACCGCCCCCTCCAGCTCCACCCGCGCCCTTGCCCCCCTTGCCCTTGCCAGAGCGACGTCTCCCACTAGGGGCAGACGCCGCGCCGACCGACTCAAGACCAAGCAGGTCGGCAGCAGCAGCAGAGGCAACAGAGGGCAGCAAGGGGGAAGGAGAGCACCCCTCAAAGATGGGGGTGCGAGGGTCACCACGAGAAGCTCCTACAGCGACTATGCTCTTCTCCGCCGCAAGGAGGGCCTTCTCGAGGACGTCGACGGTGAGGGTGGTGGGACAGACTGCGAGAAAGTGGTCCCTGACTACGCGAAGGGAGTCAGGGAGGCGCGCGACTACGTAGTAGAGAGTGATGTACATGGGGGGGGAGTTCTTAGCGCAGAACTCAGCAGGAAGGGCGGCGCGGTAGCGAGTGTCACTAGTGCGGAGGTGTGTAATGAGGTCAGCGACAGTGGGAAAGGCAGAGAGGTCAGGAAAGAGGTAGGGAAGCATGAGACGGCTCAGTGCAGCAGTGGCAGGGGAGGAGTAGCGCGCAACTACAGCGTCGTACAAGGTCTGAGCACTCTTGTACTGACTAAAGTGCGCGCGCTCAGAGGTAGGGAGGTGGCGACGCACAGCAGCACCGCGGGTGGCCCACTGAGAGCGCACAGTGGGATCAGCATCAGCAGCAGGAGCAGGAGAGGCGCCAGAGGTAAGGTCAAAGAGAGAGAGGCCGTCTGCCCTATCGCACTGTAAAAACAAGTGCAGGTCGTCTACCCAGACCTCAAAGTCAATGGCTCAACCCTCAGCGTCAAAAGCTAGGACACTAGGGGTAGCCATGACGACGACCGCGAAGCAGTGCAAGCAGTAGGGGAAGAGCACGCAGTGACAGTGCGACTGTGCTCACCAGGCAGGGCAGGCCGGGCAACTCTGCAGAAGGGCGGCTCGGCGACTCAGCGACTCGGCTGCTGGGCGGCTCGGCTCCCGGGCAGCTCGGCGGCAGGGCGGCTCGGGTGCAGGGCGGCTCGGCGCCCGGGCGGCTCGGCGGCAGGGCGGCTCGGGTGCAGGGCGGCTCGGCTCCCGGGCGGCTCGGCGGCAGGGCGGCTCGGGTGCAGGGCGGCTCGGCGCCCGGGCGGCTCGGCGGCAGGGCGGCTCGGGTGCAGGGCGGCTCGGCTCCCGGGCGGCTCGGCGGCAGGGCGGCTCGGGTGCAGGGCGGCTCGGCTCCCGGGCGGCTCGGCGGCAGGGCGGCTCGGGTGCAGGACGGGGCCGGGACAGGGGACGGCGGGGCCGTCAGGGTGCAGCGGCGGGGCCGACTGGTGCAGTGGCGGGGCCGTCAGGGTGCAGTGGCGGGGCCGTCAGGGTGCAGCGGCGGGGCCGGCAGATGCAGTGGCGGGGCCGTCAGGGTGCAGCGGCGAGGCCGGGACAGGGGACGGCGGGGCCGTCAGGGTGCAGCGGCGGGGCCGACAGGTGCAGTGGCGGGGCCGTCAGGTTGCAACGGCGGGGCCGAGAGTAGGGGACGGCGGGGCCGTCAAAAGGGGACGGCGGGGCCGTCAGGTGACGGGGCCCGCTGCAGCGACGAAGAGGCCGCGCAGCCGGCGTGAGGGCGGCGGGGCGCAGCAGAGCCAAGAGGGCGGCGCGGCGCGGCCGTAAGGCCAGCGCGACGTAGGGCCCGGGCCGCGCGCGCGAAAAAAAGGAGTCGCGCGCGCAATTTGCGGGGCGCCACAAGGGCAGCGCGACAAGCACTAGGGGGGAGCGCGCCTTGGGGAGAATAGGGCGCGCTCCGGGCAGGAAGAAAAAGTCGTGGGTGGGCCCTTAAAAAAAAACGGTCCTTAGGAAGGACCCGCTCTATACCATGTGAGAATCAATGAACAGGAATGAAATGACTAAGTCAGAGTTGGGTACAAATACAACCCTAGAAAGCTGTACCCCATATGTGCTACCCCACTATAGCCTACAAACATGCATCAGCTATGATAATCTGACAGGAGATTCAGGGAGGATGAGAACGGGAGGAGAAGAGTGGCACTTAGGCATCTCGTAGGGCTACTTCACTGCTAATCCGGGAAATCAGGGAAAGGCCCCGAACCAGCCCTTAACGGATCCGGATTGAGACCCCTATTTCTCAAAATCAGCCCGTAAGAAAAACGGGCTTCCCTCGAAACCAGCCCTTAAAAATGCCGAAGCTGGCTGGGAGTTCGCCCGGAATGTTCAGGGCATTAAGGGCAAATGCCCTTGAATTGACAGCCCTGGTCCCAACTGTGGGAGACTAACTGGCAGGATGGAAAGGGGTGGTGCAGGTTGGTGGTATATGGTGCACGTGTAGGTAGGACGGGGGCTGGAATTAGGGACAGGGAGAAAGGGGACAGGGAGAAGGGGATAGGGAGAAAGAGGAAAGGGAGAAGGGGGACAGGGAGCAGGAAGACAGGGAGAAGGGGGAGTGGGAGAAGGGGAAGTGGGAAGAGGAGTGGGAGAAGGGGAAGTGGGAGAAGGGGGACAGAGAGAAGGGGGACTGGGAGATGGGGAACAAAGAGAAGGGGGACAAGGAGAAGGGGGACTGGGAGATGGGGGAGTGGGAGACAGGGGACTGGGAGAAGGGGAAGTGGGAGAAGGGGGAGTGGGAGAAGGGGGAGTGGGAGAAGGGGGACAGAGAGAAGGGGGACAGGGAGAAGGGGGATTGGGAGAAGGGGGAGTGGGAGAAGGGGGACAGAGAGAAGGGTGACAGGGAGAAGGGGGAGTGGGAGACGGGGAGTGGGAGAAGGGGGACTGGGAGAAGGGGGACAGGGAGAAGGGGGACAGGGAGAAGGGGGACAGGGAGACGGGGGAGTGGGAGAAGGGGGACAGAGAGAAGGGGGACTGGGAGACGGGGGACAAAGAGACGGGGGGGACAGTGAGAAGGGGGACAGGGGGAACGGGGACAGGGAGAAGGGGGACTGGGAGAAGGGGGAGTGGGAGACAAGGGAGTGGGAGAAGGGGGACAGAGAGAAGGGGGACAGAGAGAGGGGGGACTTATCAGAGGATAGGGGGAAGCAGGCCAGGGGGGGCGCGTTTACACAGGGAAATCTGATGGGGGAGAACGGGGCAGATGCCGGGGAGAGAGCAGGGCGGAGGATGGTGGGGAGCTGGGCAGAGAATGGTGGGAATAGGGAGAGAGGGAAGCAGTGCAGGAGGGGGTATAAGTGGGGGGATCGAAGGGGATTCTTGGGTGGAAGGGAGTGAGTGAGGGGAGAGATGGGAGGGTGACAAGTGTGCGAGATGGGAAGGGAGACGGGCGAGGGCGACGAGCATTGGATGGCGACAGGGAAAACGAGGAGACGGGGAAAGCAAGGAGACGGGGAACGCGAGTGCGACGAGGAGAGAGGGGAACCCTGGAGATTGCGACGGCCGACAAGGAGACAGGTTGACGGGGAAAGCGAGGAGACGAGCAGCAAGGAGGGCGATGAGAAGAAGGGAGGGCGATGGGAAGAAGGGAGGGTTACGGGCGGAAGGGAGGACGACGACGGGAAAGAAGGGCGACGGTGGAAGGTAGAACGACGGGAGGAAGGGAGGGCAACGGGCGGAAGGGAGAGCGATGGGCGGAAAGGAGAGCGATGGGCGGAAGGGAGAGCTACGTGCAGATTGGCGAGCGACGGGCGGACGGAAAAGCTCGCGACTTGGGCACGCTGACGGGCGGAAAGGAGAGCTACGGGCGGATGGGAGAGCGATTATCGGATGGGAGCGCTACTACGCGACAGGGGGAGGCGATGTAAGGAGCAGAGGCGCGACGAGGGGAGGGGAGGCGCCACGATGGGACAGGAAGCGCGGCGAGGCGCGGCGCCACGACGGGAAGCGAGGCACGAGGGGATGCCCCACGAAACAACGGTGGCATGGGAGGGGAGGCGCGACGAGGGGAGGAGCTCGATAAAGTGAGGGGAGGCGCAACTATCTGACGCACTGAGAGGTGCGCTCCCACAATGACTAGTTTGACTTGTAAAACAGAGTAGCTGTGACTACTGGAGGGCTGGAAACTTGGCTGGAAAGTCTTAGCAGGGCTGCTGGAATTGACTGGATGAGGTAAAACTTCACTATGTTCAAGATTAACAAGCCCACTAAAGCACAACTCTATAGGCATCACAAACAAGACAGATTGAAAGCTCAAACTAGGCTGATAGACAATGTAACTTCCCTGGTAACTTGGGCACAATCTAGATTGGATGGACCTTGAGTGACTTTGAGTGCCACATGAGGTGCATGAATAAGAAAACTCTGGATATTTCTGTTATAGCTGATTCTGATGTGTAGAAACCTGTAGAAACTGCCAACACTTCGGTTTGAAGGCAGCTTTGAACTGTATCGAGTCTTCGGCTGAAATCTGATTGGTGGTGGAACTTTCTAAGTACTTCCCGAAGCCTCTGATTCATCGCCGACATTCCCCCTTGCTGCTGCTTGTGTGCAAAGGGCTGGGGCGGCAGAAACTCGATTCTCCAACACTCCCCCTCGCACCAGACCCGAAGCACACATACACCCATGCTGATGCTCCTTTCACATCTCCTTAGCATACACTTCATGCTGCTGCCCACGTCTCTTCCCCTCACACTCCTCATTCTCCTCAAACTGCTCCACTGCTTCATGAAGTGTCATGAGGCCTGCTCTTGCCTTGCACATGTTGAATGCATCATGTGGAAGAACCTTCGTCATGAAATCTGCTGCTTGATCGAATGAACGGCAAAAGTTGACGGCGAGAACTCCCTTCTCTAGTTGCTCACGAATGAAGTGGTATTGCACCTCGATGTGTTTTGTACGCCCATGATGAACCGGGTTCTTGGAAAGAGCTATGGCTGAAGTGTTGTCCACGTAGAGCAGAGTTGGTTGAGTTTGCGGGTGCCTCAAGTCCTCCAAGAGTCCACGTAACCAGATTGCCTCCCTTGCTCCTTCGGTCATTGCCATGTACTCAGCTTCGGTTGTTGAAAGTGCCACACAACTTTGCTTGCGCGATTGCCAAGAAACAGCGGCACCACACATGAGGAAGATGTAGCCGCCGGTAGACTTGCGTGTGCTCAATTCTCCCGCCCAATCTGCATCGGTATGTCAGAATGTTATTCTTATGTTCTAGCCTGTAGTGGGGTGCTCTATAGCGAGTACAACCCTTCTAGGGTTTGCTATTTGTGTCCCCATTTCTGCTAGTTCAACCCTCTTTCTTTCTTCAAACTTTGACATGCTATCAGAGCAGGTCGATCCCTTTGGATCGATCCTGTGGGTGTGTCCCCACCTCGCTTCCGCTGCTACTTTTTTTTTCCTCCCGCCGTGCGCCCCGAGGCGCGCGGCGGTTTTCTGCCCGCCGTGCGCCCCGAGGCGCGCGGCGGTTCTTTGCCCGCTGTGCGCCCCGAGGCGCGCGGCGGGCTTCTGCCCTACGCCCCGCCCCGACCGTCGCGGCCCCGCCCTTCGACGCGGCCCCGCTCTACGTCGCGGCCCCGCCCCGGCCCGTCGCCGCCCGTGCGCCTGCCCGGCTCGGCCCCGCTCTACGTCGCGGCCCCGCCCCGGCCCGTCGCCGCCCGTGCGCCTGCCCGGCTCGGCCCCGCCCTACCTTTGCGGCCCCGCCCTATGTCGCGGCCCCGACCGTCGCGGCCCCGCCCCTCGTCGCGGCATCGGCCCCCCCCCCCCCCCCCCCCCCCCTCCCCCCTTTTCTCCCCTCCCTGCCATTTCCCGTCGCCCGTCGCGGCTCCTTCGGGGGCCGCAAGCGGCCCCCTCAGGTCGCCACGACGGACGACGGGAGGGGCGAGCTGTTGGGTGGCGGGTATGGGGGTGCTCGGTGGGCCTTCCTCCCTTTGCTCCTCCTCCTCCTCCGTCTCCCACTGCTGCAGCTGTCGCTGAGGGGGGTGGTTGTGTGGGAGACTCGGGTTTAGGGTTTAAGGGGGGTGCGTGGGAGTGGAGCTAGGGGTGTATCAGCGGGTGTGTGTTGGGGGAGTTGGATAGTTAGGGAAGCTGCATGGAGGTTGCCGTCGTGTCGTCAGCAGCACCTGTATTCCGGGGGCTTCGCCCGGTAGCCCAGTCGTAGCCAGCTGTGCCAGCCGCCCGTGGGTCCGTTGCTCGTCTGCCGCTACTTTAGCCGCGGGGCCAGTTACTCCAGTAGTCCGGGGGCTTCGCCCGGTAGCCGCTGTGCCAGTGTGCCTCCTGTTGCCCGTGTGTCTGCAGCTTCAGCCGTCGCCTCCCAACTCCTCTCGCTCTCACTCCTCCTCCTCACTTGCCCGTTGTGACCACCACTAGCTTTGCTGATAATTGTGCACTTGAACTTGCTTCTTGAACTTGTGCTCAGAATGTGTGGTGACATTGTGATCCACCCTGAGCTTGTACTGCTTTGCTTGCTCTGCTGATTACACCCCACTTTGGCTATGGGGGTGTGTCAGAATGTTATTCTTATGTTCTAGCCTGTAGTGGGGTGCTCTATAGCGAGTACAACCCTTCTAGGGTTTGCTATTTGTGTCCCCATTTCTGCTAGTTCAACCCTCTTTCTTTCTTCTAACTTTTGACACGGTAAAGCCTTGGAGGGAGCTTGCATATGGGCTGGCTTGGAAGAGAAGACCATGATTAGAAGTAACTTTGAGATACCGAAGAGCTCGCTTGGCTGTATGCATATGAATAGGTGAAGGGGCACTCATGTGTTGAGCTAGCTTAGATACCGTGAATGCTAAGTCGGGCCTTGTGCATAGGGCTGCATACATGAGACACCCAACCTGACTTTGGTAGAGAGCTAGGTCTTGTGGGGATACCTTAAGTGAATTCTCACCATGATGCTCACTCTCCTCAAGACGCAACTCCTTAATACCTATGATATCAAGGCTTGACTCTCTCTCTTCATAGGGCTGATGTGAAGACAAAGGGACAAAGTTGGAAGGAAGTGGGGTAGGTGTTGGCTTGCTATCATCAAGACCCAACCTCTCAAGGACCTTTTGGATGTACCTTTGCTGGAATAGGAAGATGGACTGTGACTTACGATCTCTCACAATGTTCATACCAAGATAATGACTCGGCTCACCAAGATCGGTCATCGTGAATGCACTTGTGAGAATACCTTTCACCTTGTTGAGAAGATCAAGAGAACCTGAGACTAGGAGGAGGTCATCGACATATACAAAGAGCCAAATGTACTCCCCCTCACTCGTGTGCATGAAGTACAGAGCGTTGTCTCTCATGGACCTTGTGAAACCATGCTTGAAAAGTACCTGCTCAAGAGCATGATACCAAACCCGTGGGGACTGTTTGAGACCATAAAGGGACTTTACCAAGCGACACACTCGACCCGTACCGTCATCATAACCTTCGGGTTGTGCCATGTATACCTCTTCTTCCAAGACACCGTAGAGAAATGCGTTCTTGACATCCATTTGATGGATATGGAGACCAAGATATGCGGCTATGGCGAGGAGGACTCGTACCATGGTGTACTTTGCTACCGCGGCAAAGGTTTCGGTGAAGTCAAGACCTGGAATTTGGGAATAACCTTTTGCCACTAACCTTGCCTTGTACCTATCGAGGCTACCATCACCTTTTACCTTGATCTTGTACACCCATTTCACACCAATTACCTTCTTCCCTGGAGGTGGCTCAACAAGACGCCATGTACCTCGCTTCATGAGACTCTCAATCTCTTCTTCCTCGGCTTTCAACCAATGCTCTCTCTCGGCACTTGCCATTGCCTCACGACGACTCAAGGGCTCTCGCGGAAGGTGTGATGCTGCCATGCATATTGCCTCTACCTTCTTGTGAATACAATTCTCACTCTCCTCACATGTGCACCTTGATGACATGTCAACCATGAACGTGAAGGGCTTTTTTACCTTGTTGACTCGTTTACCTTTACCAAACTCCTCACTTGGCTGAGACACATTAGTGGTAGGGTTCGGTCTCACAGTGTTTGATTGCGTTGATGCGGTCATTTGCGGCTGAGACAACGGCTGTGACATCGGCTGTGACGGCGGCACGGCTGCTTGTTCTTCTCCTGGCGTGGAAATATCTTGATTATCGGTGTTGACTTGAGGATTAGGTATGGTGACTCGTGGCGGTGAAGCTGAAACGTTTGTCGGCATAGTTGGTTGTGAAGATGCTCTTGGTAGGGATCTTGAGACTAGAAGCTTGGGAATTGATGATGACGCTGCCTTGTCGAGAGGTGGTGATGGTTGGGGCTGGTTGGTGTTGTTGCTCGGTGTTGAAGATGGTGGTAACTGATGACGACCGAATCCGGGACGTGGGGGTGAAGTTGAGAAAGGTCTTGGGTGAAGAAGTGGACTGTTGGAGCTGGTGTTGGTGGTGACTCGCTGAAGTGATCCTTGTGCTATGAGCTGGCTTGACGTTGGAACAAGTGATGAACATGTGGTATGAGAACGAGGTGTTGCAGTGACGGTTGAATTGTTGCTAGGAAGAGTCGTAGATGGTGTTGATGTAGGTACTTGGGGTCTTGTAGCTGTTGATTGCTGCTGCATGGGATGATGATGAGCTTCTGTAGTTGCCTCTGGAGTGATGGCTGGTGATGGGTTTGATGGCGTAGTGGTGGGCTGATCCGGTTGGCGCTGAAATTGTGAGGTTGGTGTTGATATAGCTGGCTGGTTTGTGACTGTTGGCTGCTGCTCCTTTGGTGGTGATGGAACGGTGACTTGCTGCGGTGGATTGTCTTCATTTGATGGCTGAACTTCATCTCCACTTGGTTGAGTAGCTGCTGGTGGCACTGGCGTGGCACGGCTGGACTCGTTTACGACGGCTTGAGGGAGATCGATGATCGGTCCGCTATGGTCAGAATCGGTGTCATCTTCTTCCTCCTCTTGTGTTGTTTCCTCAGGTGTGCTTGCTGGTTCCTGTTGGATAGAGGGTAGAGAGGAGGAAGAGGAAAACTTATGC